GCCCATCTGAAAATCTCCCCCCCCCGCCCCCTGCCCCCCCCCCTGCACCCCCCCCCTCCCCCTCCCCCCCCCTTCCCTCCCCCTCGAAAACCGGGGGGGTCACTACCGGTTCGAACCCCCCCCCCCCTCGAAAACCAGAGGGGGGGTCACTACCGGTTCGAACCCCTCCCCACCCCCCCCTCGCCGCCAGCAAACGACTCCCGGTCCCTACCACCGTCCTCACCACATCCCCCATTGTTGTTCCCAGCGCCACTCACCACCACTGTCCCCACTGGTTCCACCACCGCCCCTACTGTCCCCACCAGTGCCACCACCACTGTCGCACTGTCCCCACTGTCCCCACCACTGTTCCCACCACGGTTCCACTCTCCCAACTTTCTCCACGGCCCCAACCACTGCCCGACTATCCCCACTGTCCCACTGACTCCTCCGCTGTCCCACTGAGCTGTCCCACTGTTCCCACCACTGTCCCCACTGTCCCCACCACAGTCCCCACTGTACCTCTGTCCCATTGTCCCACCGCCGTCCTCGCCACCGCCTTCACCACTGTCCCCACCACCACTGTACCCTCCACTGTCCTACTGTTTCCACCACATTCCACCTGTCCCCACACCACTGTCCCCACCACCACCGTCCCCACCACTGTCCCACTGTCCCCACTGTTCCCACCATTGTCCTCACCATTGTCCCAACCACTACCGTCCCCACCACTGTCCCACTGTCCCCACCACTGTCTCGCTGTCCCCTCACCACTGTCCCCACCACCACCGTCCCCACCACTGTCCGCACCCCCCCTCGGTTTCCGAGGGGGGGGGAGGGGTTCGAACCGGCGGTAGTGACCCCCCCCCGGTTTTCGAGTTCGGGGGCCCCCGAACCCCTCCCCCAGGGGGGGGGGGTCGAACCGGTAGTGACCCCACCCCCTTTTCATGATGAGCTGGGGGGGGGAGGGGTTCGAACCGGTAGTGACCCCCCCTGGTTTTCCAGAGGGGTGGGGGAGGGGTTCGAACCGGTAGTACCCCCCCCCGGTTTTCGGCCAGCAGCGGTAGAACACGCTCTTTCGTTGTTGTTGATGCTGTTGTTGTTGGGCTTTCCTTTCTAAAAATAATCGTTGTTGACCCCCTCCGGTGCCCACGGCACTTTTATCGTGACTAAAGCGTTCCAGCCAGGGCTCGCACGCTGATTGCTGTCAAATAAAGAAAATGTGGTGTCACTAGCCCCCGGTGCTCAACAACAACGTTTCCCGCCTGATGCTTCCTCACAGTGTATTCCGAAAACGAGCTCTCGCGCGGGACCTCCTCGCAATGCATGCAAGACTCGCACTCTCGCGTGGGACTACCTCGCAGCTTATTCGGTCGCCGCGCCTTCGACACTCAAGAATCACGCTCTCGCGTTGGCCTTTTTTGCGATTCGCTTGGGACCGCGCTATCGCTCGAGACCACCCCGCGATTCATCCAGAACTCACGCTTCAGCAACCCGCCTGCTCGACCTGGCCGCCTGAGCTCGCCTTCCCGACTCGCTCGTTGGGATCTACCCGCCCGATCTGCCCGTCTGGTTCTGCGACGTATTTTCTGAGTCTGCACCCCCTCCTGCTGATCTCTATCGTGCTCCATCCTTCTCCCTCCCCTGTACATCTATCCTCTCTTCCCCTGTTTCAGGGGCTGCGCGACATGCACGTGGCAGACAAGGAAGGTATACCCCCAACGGGTGCGATCGAAGACGAAGAGGGCTCTTCCCTTCGTCATTACCCATTCCTCCTGACAACTAATTTTCCTCCTCCTCCTCATCATCATCATCGTTGTCCTCCTCCTCCCTCCTTCCCTCTCCCGCTCCTCCTCCTCATCCTCCTCCTCTTCCTCCTCCTCCTCCTCCTCCTTCATTTATCTTCTTCCTCTCTCCTCCCTCCTCTTTATTCCATACCTAGGCTCTGCCTAGAAGGGTTCTCACTCGGTTTGCTTAAAGGGCCGGGCAGTGCTAAGCGCCCGGGGCGGTTCCCCCAGTTGCGCTCCCTGGGTGCCAAGCATAAGCAAAAGCAAAGGCAACAGTGAAGGCAAAAGCGAAGGCAAAGCAAAACCATAGCATAGCATAGCATAGCATAGCGCAGCATAGCATAGCGCAGCAAAGCATAGCATAGCATAGCCTAGCCTAGCCTAGCCTAGCCCAGCATAGCATTGCGCAGCATAGCATAGCATAACATAGCAGAGCAGAGCAGAGCAGAGCAGAGCAGAGCATAGCGCAGCACAGCATCCACTATTGCTGCTGCTAAGGAGGATGGCGTTTACCGATCCTACTAATGTTTCTTTCCTAGAGGCTCCAACTCCTAGGTAGGGTCGCACTGGGATAATTTATCATCCGTCCTCATTCTTCTTCATTCTTCCTCCTCTCCTCCTCCTCCTCCTTTTCCTCTTCCTCCTCCTCCTCGTCCTCCTCCGCCCTCCTCCTCCTCCCTTCCCCTCCCTCTGCCCCCTCCCTCTCCCCCTTCCTCCGCCATCGGAGTGGGTACGCCAGCAGTGACGTGGAGACGCCGCGCTGGTGGGCGGGGCCCTCTCCGTCGGCGGGGTCCAGCAGCCAGGAGTGAGAGCGGCCCAGCACCCTCTGCTGGCAGGCGTCTCCGGACACTCCTCGGGAGGAGGATCTGGGGGGGGGGGAAGGACAACCGAGGCCTCCAAGATGGGGTGGGGTCGGAGGTGATGGGGTCGGAGGACCGCGCCGCGGTGCCGACGCAGCATCGATGTATCGACGACGTCGGCGACGCCGGCGATGCATCTAATAATTCGATGCATCGCCGGCGTCGGCCACGCCGACAGCGTGATTAGATGCTTCGCCGCGCCGATAGCGTAATCAGATTCTAATTACGCTGTCGGCGCGGAGAAGGTCAGGCTCCACATCGCGCCGCGCATCGCCGATGCATCAGCGATGTGGCGCGATCATCCGACCCCATCTGCAGGAAGCCCCATCTGGGAGGCCCAAAGAAAAGTCGCGGGGGGGGAGAAGGAGAAGGAGTAAGGGCAAAAGAAGGAGGGGGAGTCCCGCGAATGTAACCTGAGGGCACGGGCGGGCCGCTTTGGGCGGCGCGGGGCGCCGAGGTCGTGAGGATGCGGGGCCAGTTGCTGACCCACGTGCCCGAAATTCCTGCGTGCGTTCCTTCGAAAATCCCACCTGGGGGCTGCCTTGCCAGAACATGGGGTAGAAGTAATTCTTCTTCCCCCACCCTCCCCTCAAGCAGCCGCCGCCCTCCTCCCCTCCCCCCTGTCCGTGAAACCGCTTCCCTCGGCACCTTCGGCCGTCATCTTGGGTCGGCGCTGGCCAGTTCTTCTCTCAAGCTTGGCCTGGGCCCCAGATTCCAGAGTTTCGTCTCCCTGCTCCCCTCCCTAGAGGGCGCCAGTGTGGAGGGCGCGCCAGTGTGGAGGGCGCTGGCGCGCAGGCCTCTGTGCCCGAGGCTCGGTGGGCAGCTGGCGAGGGGCGAGCATATATCTCCTCCTCCTCGTTCCTCCTCGTTCCTCGCTCCTCCTCCTCCTCCTCCTCCTCCTCCTCCTCCTCCTCCTTCCCCTTGCCTTCCCTGCCTTCCCTGCCTTCCCTCCCCCTCTTCTCCCATCGCTCCACCGCGGCCTGTCGCACCTCCCCTCCCCTCCCTGCCGTCCGTGCCCCTCCTCTCCCAGCCCCTCCTTCACCTTCCTGTTCCTACCCAGCCCTGCCCTGGCCTGGCACGCCGCTCCTTCCCTCGCCGCCCCTGCGCTTCACCATCCCCTCGTGCCTCGTTTGCTTCACACCTCCCCCCCCGCTTGCCCCACGACTCCCTCTGGCCCAAACTTGAGGGCTAGAAGGTCTGGGGGCGCGTCTTACAGTCGGGAGCGGCCAAGAGGGGGGTGTCCAAGAGGGGGGGGTGCAAATCATGGCCAGCGGCATGTGCGCGGCCCAGCGGGGGGGCCTGGACCGTATTGAAATAAGCAGAGGCGCCATGAAGTCTGGGGAAATATCATGCCCCCCGCCATGATATGCACACACCCCTAGTCATCACCCCCCTCTTGTCCGCCCCCGATACAGGGCGGACGGCGCTCCTAAGCGTACCTCTCGTCGGGGCGGCGGTCGCCCTCCCCAAACTCCAAGCCAGTCGCCGCTCGCGGAGCTCGGAGGGACCCCCCACACAAGCCGGCGCTGGAGATTTCTGCCCCTCCTCCTGCTATTTTTTCGAGAGGGACAAAGCTCCACGAAGCTACCCTGGGACCCAAGTGCACAAGAAGAGGCATGCAACTAATTTGCGCGATACTCATTCACTCTCTTGAACCACCGGACTGCCTGCTATTCACACGCTCCTCTCCGCCATCCCCCCACAGCGACGAGTCGGGAAGAGCAGGTGGCCGAAGGCAGATGCCCCTCTCTGCTCGCGGGGGAGAACATGTGATGTCATCGTGCGGTCATTCAAAGCGCCAAATACGGAACGAAGGGGCTTTCCTGCCCACGGCCACGAATAGTTGTTTTTCCACAGGCAAGGCCCGTTCAGGTCAGCGAAAAAAGTGAAGTGCCCGTCTCGGAGGTGGCGTGGCGCAGGCGGCGGGCGGCGAACGACTTGTAATGTCTTGAGCAAGGCCTTCGTCGCGCACATGCTGGCTCGACCCTTCGGCCAAACCTTGCACGGGCTCGTCATATTGGTGTTACAGTGGTTCTGGGCCGTGGCGCCAAAGGATCAGCAGACGTGTTTCTCGGCGCCAATGGCCCAACAGGCCACATATGTGGCGTGGCTGAACTTACCCTTCATGACTGGGTTCCTCTTGCCAGATCGGGATGCGTTGCTTCTGCACTCCCCGGTTTGGGGTCAGCACTGGAATTGGCCAGCCACCAATTCGACACCACGCCCTCTGCTTCCCTATGGTTCGCTTGCGTCGCAGGCGCCGCCATCATCCTGCATGTCCACCCAGTTGGTGTGACGACGCCTTGACCAGCTCCTCGAAAGCAGGTGGTCTCGTACGACTTGCCACTCGTCTAGATTTTGCGGCAGCCTTCTCCTCCCACGCCGTCGGCTTGCAGATTGCGAAGAGATCGAAGTGGGCCTGTGTGATCCCCTGGCGGGCGCACGACGCCGTTGCTCTCTGGTATCTGGTGACGGTCTGCGGCTTTGCCTGCAAACATGTCAGCCATGCGGCTCCCGACCGGACCTCCATGGGGACGTCGCGCCTCCCCGCCTCCTCGATGTGCATGTGGCGCTCGGTGGTGGCTCGCCTGGACGTCACCTACTTACGCCTCCTTCGTCCAAGGCATGGTCGATCCGCGCCCACGGATCTCCACGCCCACGTCGGTAGATCACCACTTTGCGACTCGTGCCGGCACGTCACCTCTACAGGATCCCTGAGCGGGTCCAATATACAACCGGTCCTGTCGTAGCCTCCAGCGCGTGCCCAAATGACCAGATCTACGCTCTATTGCCGTCCTGTCGTCTGCCGTGGGCAAGGCCAGAGCTCAGATGCCTCGGCGGTGCTGACCCACTGGTCGGGGACCAACCCCATGGGCGCCCAGCCCCAGCCGCACCTCCTGTAATGGGCGTCTACTGCTTCTGCTGCTGCTGCTGCTGCTGCTGCTGCTCATCCGCTGCTGTCGCTGCATATCTTGAGGTGTCCTCCATCAACTGATCCGCTCTTTGCCAGCCGCTATTGGCTCCTTCTGGTGCTCTGTTCTCCACGAAAAATGCCGCGGTCACTCCCGCGCGCGCAAGACCCTCAGACGACGTGGAAATTGTTTGCGACCGCACACTCTGCACGTGCAGGCCCCAAATGTTTCGTGCCGTCGTCGTCGTGGCCACACTACCGCGCACGCCGCCGTCAGAAAACATTGAAAACCTGGTCCTCGCAGTTGTTCCTCCGCTTCCTGAGGCGGCAACACAGGTCGTAGATGTCCGCCCATTGTTTCAGGCCCGCTCCGCTGTGGTGTCGACTCGCCAGCCTCCGCAGCCGACGGCTCCCACCTTGGCGATGGCGCGGAGTTCCCGTCAACGTCCCCAGGTCGTAGAGGCCATCCTCCTCATTCAGCACTCTCCCGGCAGGCGGCCTTGGGCACATCCCACCCGATCTCTCAGCGCCGCGCGGCGGCCGTCGCGCCGATGCTGTGGCGGGTGGCCCGGCGGCGGACGGTCTTTGGCGAGGCCCTCTGGGCCCCTGCTCTCAGGTCAGGCCTGGCAGCCCCTCGATCGAGCCACGACTGCGTCTGTGCCCTCGTGGCCCTAGACGTACTCCAGATTTCGTCATAAAAGGGAGGGGGTCTGGACCCTCCAAGACAAGCCATTTCAGGCCTCCCCCGTGGGAGAACCCTCCAAAACATCGTCCCCAGACCCCCCCAGGCCCTCCAAGATAGCCTGGAAGAGACCCCCCCCCCTCGAAATCAGACCCCCCTCCCTTTCCTACGAAATCTGGAGGCAGGCGCCGGAGCCACCGCAGAGAGGCTGAGGACGGCGATGGCGAGGAGGCAGGCGGAGGAGGAGGAGGGGGAGGAGGGGGAGGGGGAGGGGGAGGGGGAGGAGGAGGAGGAGGAGGAGGAGGAGGAGGAGGAGGAGGAGGAGGAGGAGGAGGAGGAGGAGCATGTGCCCAGGGCCTCGGGCGGCTGTGGCGTCAAGGCGTACGAAATCTGGAGTATCCCAGGGTCGGCTCCCGGCGCGTCGCAGGCCACGGGCGCCGCGGCGACGCGTGCCCAGCAAAGCTCGGCCGGCGACGCGCCGCAGGCCTCGACGCCGCAGCCGCCCGAGGCCCTGGGCACCCTGCTCCGGCGCCTGCCTCCTCCTCCCTCCTCCTCCTCCTCCCTCCTCCTCTCCTCCTCCTCCTCCTCCTCCTCCTCCTCCTCCTCCTCCTCCTCCTCCCTCCCCCCCCTCCCCCTCCTCCCCCTCCTCCCCCTCCTCCTCCTCCTCCGCCTGCCTCCTCGCCATCGCCGTCCTCAGCCTCTCTGCGATGGCTCCGGCGCCTGCCTCCAGATTTCGTAGGAAAGGGAGGGGGGTCTGATTTCGAGGAGGGGGGGTCTCTTCCAGGCTATCTTGGAGGGCCTGGGGGGGTCTGGGGACGATGTGTTGGAGGGTTCTCCCACGGGGGAGGTCTGAAATGGCTTGTCTTGGAGGGTCCAGACCCCCTCCCTTTTACGACGAAATCTGGAGTACCTCCTCGCCATCGCCGTCCTCAACCTCTCTGCGATGGCACCGAACCGCTTGTGGGCCGACGCCTGGCAAGCAATGCGGGCGGGCCGTCGCGCACGTGTCCTGCGAGCTCTGCCGTTGCCACGAACGACATGCTCAATGAAAATGTCGCCAGCGCCTGGGAGGCAGCGTCATGTTGAATCAAAGATGTGGCCCACGCACAGGCCAGGGCACTATTCCGAGGCAAGCGTGCCGCCAGAATGCAGGTGTCACCGTGGTCCTGGTGACACTAGGTGGGTCGTTCACGTTAGGGGAGGGGTTGTAGAAGGACCAGCCAGAAAACCAGAGCCCCTCCTGAGCCTGGAGTGGTCCTCGTTTCAACGTCTTGACTTCATCTCTGCCGTACGCCGAGACCCCCTCAACATGAAAAGACACTTTTCCTGCACTGGCCGATTGACGTCACTGCAGCGAAAACTAAGGCGGAGCACGCGAAAGGTCAATTCCACATGACGTTGAAGAGATAACCCCGCACCGCCCGGCAAAATTTAGAAGACGACGACGAGGAGGACAACACGAGCACAGAGTGGAAAATGAACGACGAGGCGACACGGGAGGAGACACTTAGGGCTGCCAGGGCAGCAAAGCGGACGACGACTAGGGCGACTAGGGCGACGACGACCCTGGCGTAAAGGTCAGGCGGGAGGACCCGTCGGTCGTGCAGCTGACATCGTCATCCGTGAAAGAGACCTTGCTGGCTCCCAAACGTCGTGCAGCTGACCAGGCCGACCTCGTCATCCGTGCACGGAACGCTTTCGATGAGACTGCTCTGCAGCATAAACATGCAGGCACACACTCACGCAATTGCCCCAGCTAGCGCCGCCGCCAGGACGAGGGGGAGTAGCAGGGCCAGAATGAGGAGCGGCAGGACGAGCAGGAGGTTGACGAGGAAAAGGATGCGGAAGATGCGAAGGAAGAGCAACAACGGCACAGGACGAGGGTGGTCAGGACGAAAAGGCGGGAACGAGCAGCGAAGAGCGACGAGCCAGGAGCCATGAAAAGCGAGGAGGAGGAGGAGGAGGAGGAGGCCGACGACGAAGAGGCCAGAAACGAACCACCCTCAGGATCAGCATCCCTACAGGCGTAGCTCTGCAGGAAACGCCCCTGCGGAAGCAATCGAGCAGGGGAGGACGGCTCGGGAAACGCCAGCCATGGAGGTCGGGGAGGCTTCCCCCCTGGAGCAGCGAGGAGGCACGGGGAGGAACGGGAGCAGGACTTTGAACAGGAGAATGCGGAAGAGCGGGTTGGTGATTGGTGACACTCGCTCACTCACTCACTCGCTCACTCACTCACAAGCCATACGCCGTCCCAAGCCGCGACGCGAAACGGAGGGTGAAACGCTGCGCCGGCCATGGATCAAGATGAGGAGGAAGAGGAGGAGGAGGTGGAGAAGGAGGAGGAGGGGGGGTGATTGGTGACGGTGGTAATGAGCCGAGGTGGGGGCAGTGACGGCCAGAGGTGTGAGGGAGAAAAAAAAGGATGCGGGGGGTTCTGAGGGTGCGGGATGGGCGCGGACGAGCCGGGAGGAAGATGAGAATGCTAGGCGGCGCGCCCGGGGGAGAATGGGGAAGGGGCGGGCCTTCTCGGAAGGCTCGGAAGTCCCCTGGCCTTCTGAGAAGCTTTCTAAGCCTTCCCCGAACATGCAGCAAAACTTCCCAGAAGGCGTGAGGACTTCTGAGAAATCCCGCCGCCTTCTGAGAAGGTCTTCTCTTTCTCATTTTCCCCCCTCGCTCGCCGCCGAATTGCGGGGGTGACAAAGAAGAGGATGACGAAGACCAAGACCGGCAAGGGACTACGAGATGCGAGGCACACGGAGCGGAACGGATCGCGACGAAGCAGAGGATCGGTGCGGACGAAAGTGGGGATAGCATCAGGGGGAATAGGTTGAGTAGGAACCGACCATCCCGACAATCCTATAGGACTAAGAACCCCAAAAGGTTCTAATAACAAAAACCATGTTCTTAGAACATCAACCCGATGTACTAAAGAACATCAACCCGATGTACTAAAACAAAACAGTCTTAGCCAGAAATGTTCTAAGAGCATCTCGTGCAAAGCACAAAAGGTTCTTAGAACATTCTGTGGTGGGCTAAGCAGGCGAGCCAAGACGCTTCGCCACAGCTTGAATGGGGAATCTGACTTTCCCTGGCCCTGGCCCTGGCTCCAGCCGCGGCCCCAGTCCAAGCCCCAACAGAGTCCAAGAGGCTCCCAAGAGAGCCCCAAGAAAGGCTCCAGAGCGTCAGCGTCGTCGTCGTCGCCGCTGCCGCCGCCGCCGTCGTCGTCGCCGTCCCCCTTCAGGGTCGGCGGCACTGGCCGCTAGGCCTTCCTAATAGGGAATCTGACTCTCCTGGACGCCGGGGGGAACTCCTGATATTTGAAGGGGCCCTGGGACACACAAATTAATGAACACAACTAACCGGATCCCCCACATGTTCATTTACTTTTAGGGTTTTTTGTCTTCCCCCCCCCCACACACATTTTCCTACATTTTCTGGGGGCTTTTCCATCCAACCGACCTACTTCGCAGCCACCGGAATTTCCTTCAGCACAGCCAACTGCAGCTCCAACCACTCAGCCCTCCAGAGATTGTCTTCCTCGCGAACAATTGAGTGCCAGCGTCCAACTCAAGATATGTGCCAGTCCTCGTGCCTGTGTGCCTTCTTCCCCCCCTGGCACTCCCCGTACTCAGATGTTCTGGGCTTCTGCCTTCCCCCCCCCCTTCCCACACTTTCCCCCACCCTCTGGGGAACCGCCGATTCACTGTGCCTGTTGTTTTTTGTTCTCTCCCCCTCCCGGCAATCCTCGGGAGGGGTGCGCCCGGCGGCGGGGCCGCCACACCCGCTGCGCGCGGCGGGCTTCGCGGGGGCCCCCCTCCCCGGGGGGGGGGGCGCCGGGGGAGGACCGGCTCAGGCGGAGGGGGGGGGGGAAAGGCGCGCAGGCGCGGCTTGGCGCTTGGCCCCCCTCCCCGGGGGGGGGCGCCAGGGGAGGACCGGCTCAGGCGGGGGGAGGGGGGCGGGGGGGGGGGAAAGGCGCGCAGGCGTGGCTTGGCGGTGCTCCACGGACTTGGCGCGCGGCCGCCGACTTTGGGTCGGGCGTGTTCGCCTACAGGCGGACGTTGGACGGAAAATCAGACATGCCCCAAACATGCCCCCCAGATCGTCAACAGTGGTCAAGAAGTCGTCCCCAGACTACTTCTTGACTGTTCTGGAATGTTCCCCCCGTAGAGGGACAGGCCCGACTTAACGCCAAATCCATGGATCGGGGGAGATGCCCTCCCCAGAAGGATGTTTTCTCCATCATGATGGCGATGGCGCGGCGCCAGTACACTGGTCAGCGGCCGGCCTTGCGGCAAGTATCCCTCCGCGGGAACGGCCGTGCTTTCTCCCTCCAATGTCGGGGACTGGGAGGACGAAGAAGAAGAAGAAGAAGAAGGATAAGAAAAAGGAGAAGAAGAAGAAGAAGAAGAAGAAGAAGAAGAAGGAGAAGAGGAGGTGCCCTCCCCAAAATGCGGCGGGTGCCGCCTCGTTCGGCGACGGAAATCAGCGTTTTCCCACAGAAGCGGGACCCGTCGCTAATCCACGCCCCCCTCGATCCATGTTTGCGATCGCCTGATCGGTGATCAGTGGGCGATTGGAAGCCGATGCGTCCCGCCCCTGAGCCCATCCCCGCTTAACGCTGCCCCTGAAAGGATCGCGACGAGGCGGAGGAAGAGAATCGGGCGGCGGCTCCTTCCGGCGTTTTCGTCGTCGTGGTGGTCGTGTTCGTCGTCGTCATGGTCGTGTTCGTCGTCGTCGTCGTCGTCGTGGTCGTTGTCGTGGCCGTCGTGGTCGTGGTCGTCGTCGTCGTCGTTCGTAAAATTTCACGGGCAATCGGGCGGCGGCTCCTTCCGCGTTCGCGAGGGCCTTGCCCTCCAGGCACAGCTTCGGCAGGTGCTTCTCCTGCGCGAGCTGTGCTTCAGGTACCAAAAGCGACTGGAACTGACGGTGGTCTGACGTCAAGTTGGTGATCCGAAGCACCAACTGGCAGTGCTCTGACGTCAGGCATCGTCAATCATTGTGAGCGGGGGGGGGGGCGTAGGGGGGGGGGCACCCAGGGGGGGCGCGGGGGGATCGAATACTTGGCGGCGCACCCACGGGGGAGGGTCGGATCGGATCGGACGAAAGGAAGGGGGGGTAGCAAATGCGGGGTTAGCGAATCAGCTCGCGCAGCCCGTTTTCCCAGTACCTCTCTGCGCTGGAGGCGCCTATGTAAAGTGCCTGGCAGGGGAGGCAACCGCCTGCAAGCACCAGATTTCGTAGCTAACCCTCCCCTTCATCCGACTGGTGAACACTTGGCGACGTGCCCCCACGGGGGGAGGAGGGGGAACATCCTTCAAAGAAGGCAGTGCCAGAATCCCCCCACGCCCTCCGAAGAAGTTTTCTGAGATGTCTGATATGTTTAAGAGAGCTTCTCAAAGGCGGGAAGGATCAGGTCGATGGAATGGGCGAACCCTGGGGAAGGGATGCAATGGAAGGGATGGGGGTGGGAGGCCCGACTGGGCGGAGGAAAACTAGCCATGGGGCAGAGAGGGGAGACGGGAGTGTGGGAGTACGGACATGTGGGGGTGAACGCACACCATCGAGGGACTGCCCGATCGGATGCCACGAAGAGCGCGACGACGAACGCAACCTTCCAGCCATCTTGGCAACGACCTCATGGCTGCGCACCTGCTCTGAAACGCGCCGACAGCACGCGTCCTCGAAAACTGAGAGGAGGAGGAGGAGGAGGAGTAGGAGGAGGAGGAAGGAGGAGGAGGGGGAGGAGGAGGAGGGGGGGGGGAGGAGGAGGGAGGAGGGGGAGGGGGAGGGGGAGGGGGGGAGGGGGAGGAGGGGGGGGGAGGAAGGGGGGAGAAGGAGAGGGGGAGGAGGGGGAGGGGGAGGAGGGGGAGGGGGAGGGGGAGGAGGGGGAAGGGGAGGAGGGGGAGGGCCTCTGCGGGAGAACCGAGATGCTCCGTGCTGTGCCGCCCTGCCGGCCTTCTTCGTGCGCCTGTCGCACAGGGTGCCAGATGCTGCTCGGGAGCGAGAGCTGGTGAGGCCCCCTGCGCACGGTGTTCAGGGCCTCTCGGCGAGTGATCTCAAGGGGCACAAGGACACGCAAACACAAACTCACACACAAATAACACGATTCCCGATATGTTCCCATATTTTCTGTGTTGTGTCTTCCCCACCACTTCCCATGTTTTCCAATATTTTCTGGGGAATCGACGATTCATTGTGTCTGTTTGTTTCCCCCTCCTGGTGATCTTCGGTGAGGGTGGGCCGCCGAACAACAAAGTAGGAAGATGCCACCTGAGTGCTTCCTCCGAGCTGGAGGCCCCCCAAGAAGGGGTCCGAGTAGACGGGGTCGGAAGATCGCGGCGCATCCGCGACACATCGGCGACGTCGGCCCAGAGGAGGTCGGGCTCCAAATCGAGCCGCTTCGCCGATGCATCGGCGGTGCGGCGCGATCCACCCACTCCACCTGCTCGGAACCCATCTTGATGGGCCTGTTTTCCACCACCACCACCATAAGTTGGAGGGGGGAAGGAGGAGGAGGCCGAGGAGGAGGAGGAGGAGGAGGACGAAGAGGAGAAGGAGGAGGAGGAGGAGGAGGAGGAGGAGGAGGACCCCCTCCCCCTCCAACTTATGGTGGTGGCGGTGGAAAGCAGGCCCCTCACATCTGGGAGGCCTGGGGTGCCCTCCCGAGCCCTGCGCTGCGCTGCCCGCGCGGGCGCGGAAGGGGCTCTGGGAGAAGGGCCCCGCTCCCGTGGCCCCCTCCCCCCCCCCGCCCGCGCACCCCAGACGCTCCCCCGCAACCGGCCACCGGCCGCCCCTCCGCAGAAGAAGAATAAGCAGAAACATAATAATAATACTACTACAAATAATAACAACGATAATAATACGTCAAAGATGAATAATAGCAGCAACAACCAACCCCACCAACAACAGCAACAGACCAACAACAACAACATCAACAACAACACCAACAACCACAATAACAACAGCAGCAGCAGCAACAGCAACAGCAACAGCAACAGCAACAACAACAACAACAACAACAACAACAACAACAACAACAACAACAACAACAGCAACGACACCACCAACAACAACACCACCAACAACACCACCAACAATAACAACAACAACCACAACAACAACAATCAGTTTAGCCTGATGCGCGACGTTTCCACACGAAGCATGCGACCATCATGATAACCATCCTCATCATGGGGGACTCTAATTCTATAGCGGGGTCCGTTATTCCCATTCCCAAATCTCCCGCCCAATGAGGTCTTGCAAACACTTCCTCCGAGGAATTTCAACATATCCCGCGTCGAAAACGCATGCCCACGCCTTGCTGCGCCGATGCGAGACCGCCAGTGGAGCCACAGCCAAAGGTAGAGCACAAGGACGTATCGAGCGACACGATTGCCTTGGTGGGGATAGGGGCCGCCGGCGGCGAGGCAAGGACTTGGCCCTGAATAGAAAAGGTTGAAGTCTCGAGCAGGGCCGCTGTTGTTGCAGGGAGCGGCGCCAGTGCTGAAGAGAGTAGGGCGCCAGTCCAGCGTAAAACAGAACGAAATCTCAAGCGGGAGCGCTGGTTTTGTTGGGACGGCTGTTGTCGGCGGCGAGAAGGAACACCGCCTTGAGTAAGAAGGGAGGAAGTCTCGAGCGGGAGCCGTGGTTTTGCCAGGACGGGGGCTGTCGGCGGCGAGGAACAGCACCGTCCTGAGGAAGAAGGGAGGAAGCCTCGAGCGGGAGCGTTGTTCTTGCTGGGAGCGGCGCCAATTCAAACCAGAGTAGGGCGCCAGTCCAGCGTAAAACGGGAGGAAGTCTCGGGCGGGAGCGCTGGTTTTGACGGGGCGGCGGTTTTCGGCGGCGAGGAGGAGCACCGCCTTGAGTAAAAAAGGAGAGAAGTCTCGAGCGGGAGCGTTGTTGTTGCTGGGGACGGCGCCGATGAGAGAAAGAGGAGCGCGCCAGTCCAAGGAAAAACGGGAGGAAGTCTCGAGCGGTAGCGCTGGTTTTGTTGGGACGGCGGCTTTCAGCGGCGAGCAGGAGCACCAGCCCGGAGTAAAAAAGGAGGAGGTCTCGAGCGGGAGCGTTGTTGTTGTTGGGGGGGCCGTTTTGGCGCCCCCCCAAACCGCTCGAGCGTGAGTCTCCTTTTCAATGAAAGTGTGGCCGGCGCCAAGGCGAGAGCGCCAGGGCGCCTGGGGGGTGGTCCAACAATTATACTGCTTAGTAACGAACATTCAACAACAACAACAGCAGCAGCAACAACAACAACTACTACAACCACAACAACAGCAGCAACATTACCATTAACAACAACAACTGACACAACTGACACAACTGAAACAACTGAAACAACTGAAACAACTGAAACAACTGAAACAACTGAAACAACAACAACAACAACAACAACAGCAACAACAACAACAACGACAACAACAACAACAAGAACAATAACAATACCAAGAACAAAAACAAAAAACAAGACCAATAACAAGAACAATAACAATAACAATAACAACAGCAACAACAACAACAACAACCACAACAACAACAACAACAATTACAATTACAACAACAACAACAGCAACAGCAGCAACAACAACAACAACAAAAAAACAACAGCAGCAGCAGCAACAACACCACCAACAACAACAGCAAACAAAACAACAACAACGCAAAGACAACCCTTCAGGCCACGCCGGCGGGTCCCGTAGTGGCGTCCTCCCCCACAGGGCGAGCGGACTCTCCTGGGCCAAACGTTGCTTTTGTTGCCCCAGGGTAACAACGCGCACAACCTCTATATGCGTTCCCGAATACACGTCAGCTCCATTACTGTTCTCCACGCACTCCTGTGTGCGAGCACCTTGCGCGCGCCGGCGAAGCGAGCTCCTCCTCTACCAGAACCCTGTAGGATCCCTACAAAGCCTAAAGGACTTCTGTACGAATCCTATGGGAATCCTATAGGACCCTGCAGGAATCCTCTAGGAATCCGACGGGATCCCTGCGAACCCTAAGGGGCTCCTATACGAGTCCTATGGGAATCCTGAAGGACCCTGCAGGAATCCTCTAGGAATCTGCTAGGACCCCTACGACCCCGAAAGGGCTCCTATACGAATCCCATGGGAGTCCTGAAGGACCCTGCAGGAGTCCTGTAGGAATCCCATCGGATCCCTACGGACCCTACTTAGTGGACTCCGATACGAATCCTATGGGAATCCTATAAGACCCTACAGGAGTCCTGTAGAATCAGGCAGGATCCCTGCGAACCCGAAGGGGCTCCTATACGAATCCAATGGAAATCCTGAAGGACCGTGCAAGAATCCTCTAGGAATCTGCTAGGATCCCTACGAACCCAGAGGGGCTCCTATACGAATCCAATGGGAGTCCTGAAGGACCCTGCAGGAATCCTGTAGGAATCCCATCGGATCTACGAACCCTACTTAGTGGACTCCGATACGAATTCAATGGGAATCCTATAAAACCCGACAGGAGTCCTGTTGGACTCCTATCGGATCCCTATGAACGCTAGAAAAGACTCCTATACAAATCCTGTGGGAATCCTGAAGGACCCTGCAGGAATCCTCTAGGAATCCGCTAGGATCCCTACGAACCCTAAAGGACTCCCTTACGAATCCTATGAGAATCCTATAGGACTCTGCAGGAATCCTTGAAGAATCCGATCGGATCCCTACTGACCCTGTAGGGATCCTATAGAAATCCTAATTAGAATCCCTGTGGACCCTGTAAGCATTCTGTATGAATCCTATAGGATCCCTCCGGACCCTGTTAGAATCATGTAGGAATCTGGTAAGATCTCTACGGGCCCTGTACGAATCCTGCATGAATCCTATAGGATCCTGACGGATCCTACAGGAATCCTCTGTGGATCCTGAACTGCCGAGTCG